CTCTTTCCCACTCCACCATTTTTAGCTCACTTTAGGAAAACAACCTTCTTAAGTTTCATTTTTTGTTGATGGCCATATTTACTGAATTATGCTTCTCACACACAGTTTCCTCCACAGAGCAGATCTGCTGTATCCACAAATCGTATGGAAACTAAGGACTGGAAAAGTTAATAGAGTTCAGCTGAGAAAAGGTTTCTGCTTTGCACCCAAGCAAAAAATACTGACATAGGATTACATTAAAACTTACAGAATAGAATATAATCAGTATTGGTCAACATAATTTAAAGAAAATTGGTCAAACCAACCTGATTTTGTTATCCGAAGTTACAAGTTTGTAATCATATAGACATATACGCTTGTATTCTACTTGCTGACTCATGATTAAAAAAAAATTAAGAAATACTCACTTCCACATCCATGTAGTATCTCCTTGCTTGGTATTGTATAATGCAAAGAAAGATGTCTCAAAGTACGGACTTTGACAGTACATTATTATTGGACTGGGTGTTTCCAATGGAATCAACTTTACATGAACATAGAGTGCAACACCTCTGAACACTCCTCATCGATCAGAAATTTAGAAGGTTATAAAAGAAACAGGAAAGCAGACAAGATTGCAATCTACAAAAATGCTAATGGACTTCAAATGAGAAGAGACACATGTACTGAGAATCAATGTCTGGAACTCGATTCAGACAAAAATGAAAATAAGGAATGTCTAAAAGTATTTTTTTTTAAATAAACAACTACAGACTGAATCACCACTTCAGTTTCTTCAAGTTCCCAGGATTATTTTTTTTTTAATTAGGAAAATATTAGAGACTTGCTTTATTTAGATTGGCTCTTAAGGGATGAGTAAAATGTAATTATATGCACTCCAATATTCAAAACCCTTCCAACGTACAAGTTAAGAATACATTTCTTTTGGGCCCTTACACAAGCCAGCAGTATTACACAGTTTCCAAGTAAGCTCGAATGTGTGTCTCACAAACTGTTGTATTTATGGGAATAAAACTGCTTGTATTTCAGAATATTAATTTGTGCAATAATTACCTTTATTTCTGCTATTTTGGATTTCCTCTGCCAATCCCACACAGTTAGCATATGCTCATTGGAGTCATCAATTACACACAAATGAGTGCCAGAATCCTAAAGGAAAAAGAAAAAAAAGAAGTGCTGACAAAGTACTATCATACTCCATTTAGAAACAGGGTAGGGCAGTAGTATTTTTAAAAAGCCACAAAGGTACAAATACAAATTAAGCAAGTCCTTTTAAAGTAATTATAAGCTTAATATATGTTATTTTCCTTTTCTCTTAAAGACAGACATAGATTTTTGCATAATCTCACAAAAAACGACCGTGCTTGAAATAATATTCTAGGAAAGCTTTAAAAGCATCTTACCAAGTCTTTCCCTTTGGTTTTGCTGTTGGTTTTTTTTTTGTTGTTGTTTTGGTTTGGTTTGGTTTGTTTTTTTTTCTTGTTTGTAATATCATGCTAGTAACAAAGAGGTTTCTCCCTTTTTCTACTCTGTAAATATTTTGTTTTTCCTCAGGTCTCAGAGAACAGACACACAGCTCCACTTGTGCTTTTTTCTTAAATGTCATCATCACATACACACAACTTTACATTGTCAAATTTTGCATGCACATCTCGTTTTTTCCTCATGGAGCATTATGTACCAGCAGTTCCATCATGTAATGAGTAAAACTGCAGTAAAGCTAACATTTTCTGAATAAAATTATGCTTACAGAGCAGAAGGACTGGCATCTATGGTATTAAATAACTGAAATTGTTTATCTTGAACAATTTTACAATGAAATGGTAAATATGGCTATACGGAATTAAAAGAGCAGACAGAAAATCTTAGAACAAAAACATACTTATTCACAGCAACACATACTTGCACAAACCAGTTGTTTCAAGGACATGTGTAGAAAGATTTGGAGGAGGCCTGATTTATTTTAAAGTTGATTCTTGCAGTTCAACCGCATTCTCTAACAAATTATGAAAATAGAGGTGGCTGAAATTTTTATTCCCAAATACTGTTATGAGCAGTAATATGCAAATACACATGAAAATTATTAAGTGGAAAGAAACCTTGAAGACGGCATTAGTGATATACACAGTTCTTAGGTGGCTTAATGAAATTATATGGTAAAACCACAGTTCTAGACACTGCACATTCACTGTTTCAGTCTAGTGAGGAATCACATGAGACTGTAATAAGGCATCAAAATCAGTTTCAGCTGCAAAACAGAACTAATAAAAAAATTCCTCAGTGGTTTTGTTTGTTTTGTTGTTAAAATGATGGAACATGTATTTATTCACCTTTAAAAAAAAAGTATCTGACTTCAAAAGTTGTATTGGTTTGTTAGAGTGACAGGAATGACACTGTATTATTCCATTTTATTTATGCTAGCACCTATTTATAAAAAACCAAAACTCCTTTACTTACAGAAAGACAAAATCTAGATATAACTCATCTAGCAACATTTCAATGTTAAGTGAAACTGCAGCAAGAGAGTGTAAGCATTTCTTTTCAACAGGTTGCCCAGTGACGCTGTTGAGTCTCCATCCTTGGAGATCCCCAGAATCCAGCTGAACCAGCGCCCTGAGCAGCCTGCTCTGGCTGAGTCTGCTGTCAGCAGGATGGTAGATGAGGTGATCTCCAGACCTCCCTTCCCACCTCAGCTGTCCCGTGAATCTCTTCCTCTAACAGCAAAATACAGCAGACATTCTTTTTCTGCACTTTTTTTTTTTTTTAAACACATACTAATTCTTCTTGCTGGGACGCAAGAATCACAGCCTGGGTTTTCAGAAGGTCTGATATGTTTCAGTGCTTTGGCAAAAATACAAAGGCAGCTTAAAGATTAAAATATATACGTATATCACAAAAAATAAACTCATTGCCAATTTTGAAAGAAGAACTTTATCAATGCCCAGTAGCACATCCCCATTTGCTACTGATTTTTCTGATAAATTCTGTAGGTCCAGTAACAGGACTTCTATTAATTATTCTATGTAAAAACAGAGGCACAGATTGAAAAAAATTATTCCTCAGGAAAAAACAGCACAAGATAATGTTTTGGGTTTTTTTTTTTAATTTCCTGTTGATGGATAAAAGCCTTCTCCAGGTGTGCAAGCAGAAAAGCTACCCTTTCTATCAGAACTCACTAAAGTTTGTCTTCACGAATCTCACTAACAAACTCGTTTTTAAATTCTAAACAAAACCCCAAGCCCCTCACAAACAAAAACAAACCACCAAACCCAGCAGAGACTTCAGTTTCTACTTAAGACTTTTCTTGTCTGCTATTTAGTCACTGTGCTAGTTTGTTACCGCAATTTTACACGTGCAATTTCCTGTTTTTTCCAGTTAGCTTGCTGTCAGCTGGTTTTATAAAGCATACATAAACTTTACTGACACGCTTTTAATACTAAAACGGATCAGCTGGACAACGACGTACAAAAAATCTCCAAAGATTTCCCTCCCATTAACATAGGATTGGATAAATTATTTAACACACAAAGTAATCACACCCATCTTACCGCTTTTGAAAAATCCAAACACCCCACTCCACGTTCAAAAGTCCCGAGGCCGATAACCTGCAGCGTCACCAGGCTCACCGAGTCCCATACTCTAACATGGGGCTGCAGAGGCTGCGTGAAAAAGCAACGGGACAAACGGCATCATCAACAGTGAAAGCATCATATGCAGGTGTCAAGTTTTGTTAAGCAGATGCTACCTGAATTACAATCTGCAGACCGAAATGCAGGATGACCTGTGCTAATGATGTCGCTGGATAGTATCTTGAAGCTCAAAAGGTGAGAGTCAAGATAATCTTACTACCTGTGTCCGGGCTACAAACGTGGCAGCAGCCGAGGCAAGAAATTAAGTCTGGTGGCATTTACTAGTTGTGAAAATAAATCTTTGCCCAATTTAAGTCATTGAATGAATAATGAAAGTCATCTTGCACTTCAGACCCCAGACCTAGCAATCTTATGCAACAATTGAAAATAATGATCGAACTTTGGGTTTTTTTATATATAAAGTAGGAATAAAATAATTTTTAAAAAACCCAAACAAGCCGAAAACCCTGGTGCACCAAGTCCCCTAACCATCACCAACCACTCCATGAAAATCTCCATGGTTATATTTCATATAAATACTATCCCAAACCAGCTTAGCTTCATAAATGTGAAACAATCACAAATAAAATGGGAATTAAGTTGGCTTAAGGACAGCATTCACCACAGAAACTGACAATAAATCATTCCACTCATGGAAAAGCAAACCAACCAGCCTTAACAAGAGATTCAACAAATGTTCATTGGAAATCATAACAATATCTATACAAAAAAACCCACATCAATTTCTTACAAAATCTAAGAATTTAAGTTGAACATCTGAATAAGGGTTATATTTAATGTGCTTCTACATCTCATAGTATCTGTGTGTGTCGTCGTCCTCCCCCCACCACCGCCTTTTTCTTCCCCTCTGTTCATAACTTCATGAAGATAATCCAATTATTCAAATTCTGACAGAGTTCAACAACAGCCAGGGACAAGAGCATTTAAATGCACTTGGTCTCAAATGAGGAAGTTTGTAGAAAAGCTTGACACACCTTCCATGAATTCTCAAAAGTTGGTTTCCTCTTCCATGAAGCCTTAAGAGTACACTGACCCACAGAACTGGGGACTTGGTCTCCTCTGGGAGAAGACTCATTGAAAGAAATGTGACAAATGATATGGCCTTATAAATCAATTACAAGCTTCGCATTTGCTTGCAAAATTAAAATTGAGTTTCCTATGTCACAGATAAAGGACTTTATGAGCTTCTGCTCTTTTTGATGTATGGCTGAGTGCTTAGTTGTTACCATCTTTTTCCTAGACATACAGGCCGTTACCTTAGAAACAGCAAAATATCTCAGTAAGTGTAGTGCATAAAATAAACTGCAAACAGAAGGTGATGATGAGATTAAAAAAAAACAAAACACTTTCCTGATTTTCAAAACAAGATACTACTGCTCAACAGCTCTATTACTTACCCTTCCATCTTTATCCACTCCAGCTAACTGTCCTGTTGCAATTCTAATTTTGTCTGGATGAACTGCAAGACTAAGACAGACAGAAATATGACTTGCTTTTGCTGTCATAGGTCTTCAAAACTGAGAGGTTTTTTTTGTTTTTTGGTGGTTTTTTTTTTCTTTTTCAACAGAAGCCCATGAAGACACTTATGATCCTAGATCCCACTTTTAATGAGACAGCTCAAATGTTTTTCATCAAACTGTTTCATTACACACTGTACTGATGGGTTGATCAGGCTCTTGCGATGGCTGCTGGCACAAAATCAGGAGCACCAGAAGAGCCACCTCCACACGTGCTCTGACCAATCTAATTTTGCACTATTTCAGGAGCCCGCTGTAATAAAATATACATTGTCTCATGATGAACTTCCTACATGTAGTTAGGTGCTATATTTATAAACACTACCATATATTTTATGCCTAAAGCTAGAGATAGCGTGAACCTGGGGAAAAAAACAGCTGAAAAGTTGGCTGAAGGCTTGTGCACCCAGGAGTCAGGGATTACTGCCACTTGAACTGACTTACTCATCTAATTGTACTAATGAAGTTCTCCAGTATGGTATACTACTAGTGTAAGTAAAAATCTGCTTTTGCTTATCACATTTTGCTTTGGAGCTGATGTGAAAACACAGATTTCAGGGTACACGTCCTCTTAGTCCTAGTGATTTTTTGACCGACCTTCTTATCTGCTTTCTCTGTAAGACTACAAAGGTGAAGAAAGCCATTGAAAAAGGAAGGGGGGAGCGGGGGGGGGGGTGCGCTGAAGAGCTCAGAATGATGGACACCAAAACCATTTACAATTCAGTCTAGTTTTTTAATGAAAGTGAAGAACACTAGACTGACAGCGTTGCTCCCACAGGAAGCAATTACAGTTTATCAAAGCAGAGCCAGGAGAAAAGAGGTTTAGATGGCCACTCTCCTCCACTCAGGCACAGTAGGGAGCTCATGTTCACCATGACATTATGTGCATCGCTCTTCAGACTAACATCGTAAAGTCAGCAACTGCCCTTGCACCCACAATGAAGTTGGCTTCAATTTCCCTGCTTCTCTGTTTTGTTTTGCAAACATCTTTCTGATTTCCCAGACAGTCCTAATACCTGGGATGGGGCATCTCTTAAAAAATGAGAAAATTATTGCTCAGTTTTCCATTTGGTTTTCTAATTCTCCTTTAAGACTACACCTTTACCATACTGCCTGAAAATCACTGATTTAGAATTAGACTGACAACAATTTTTAATTTCTGGGACATGTATTTAGAATAACGTACGCAAAGATCCTTTCTCCTATCTGGCACTCTGAGTGTCTACAGATCCCGTTGTTTTACATTTAAGCCAGAAATCCTAAGCTAGCATGGACCGCTCTAGCACCATTCATTTGTGCAGCGTTTACTACAATGAAATCTACTGGGACTGATGAAACAGAAAATAACTACAATTATGATGACATTAATGAGCTCATACAAACAGTAGGAGAGAGTAAAAAAAAAAAAATTCTGCATTATTACACACATACTTACATGCAAATTTTATATACTAACCATTTAACGCAGTCTGTATGCCCCAAATAGTGTCGCTGAGTTCTCTCCTCATAGTTAAATAGTACCACCACTGATGCTATAAAATATACAATTTCTCCGGTAGGAAGGAGGTAAACATTGGCTCGACAGTCTCTTCCACGATACCCATATCTATGCATTTTTTTTTTTTAAAGTCAAGGTTTTCATAATCATTGTATACCAGGGAAAAAAACCCCCAACAAACAAAAACAAACAAACAAACAAAACCCACCAACTTTTTTTTTTTCTCTCTGAAAGGCTTAAAGGCTTCCCAGGGAGCTGTCATGTCAGCAAATGCCCTTTAGGTTTTTCCTCTAGAACTATAGCACAATTTCTGTAACAGAGTTTAAAAAAACCCACAAAAACACAACAAAAAAACCCACATACAAATGGACTTCAGGAAACCAAATCCCTTAAAAAGTGATGCTCTCACTGATGTTAAACATAAGATATATAAAGCACACTGAAGTAAAATAAATACAGCGTTGTAATTTTATAAAAACCTCCATGTGAAGTTTCATTGGGTAACAGCAGGCCTCACTGTACTGGCTTAACATTTTTACAGCAACAGAGCTGTGCATCTGCACCCTGGGCACCAGAGCATTACTTCCATTTATCCTTTGAAAACAAGCGTGTGAAAATTCCTAATGCCCTTCGGAAAAAGGCAAGCTTCTGCACAGCAGCTGCCAAGTTCAGGAACTATTTCTTCAGACTGTTTTAGAGTATTTTTTAAACAAACAAAACTCAAAAAGAACTGACATAGTGAAAAATATTCTATCCAAATCTACTCAAAATATATAAAAGGGATGATTTTTGTAGGAAACCTACATGACTCCTAGTGACATTCAGAAGTTTTACACACTGAGAAACAGCCTCGGCTAGCACTGATCAAACTTTATTACAACTCATTATTTCTTTGAAACAGGTGCAATTTTCTACATCTAGACTATTAATGTGGCTGGCTGGCTGTATTTCAGTTCCCAGGGTCACTATGTACAATTAACATAAAAATTCAGACTTTAACAGTAGCTCCACAGCCTCAAAAAATATCACTTTCCTGTTATGTCCTGCATTTCAGAAAGCTCCCCCTTCAGTGCCAATGAATACACCTGCAATAGCAAGGAAAATACAGGAAATACATTAAGCAACTTAAGCAAAAGGATTCCAGGCTTAGGTCCTGGTTAATCAGGTACATAAAAGAAAGTCAAAGACCCACATGGAGAAAGCTGGATGAAGCTGGCCCTTTCTCATAAATGAGAGCAGGCGCAGTAGTCCAAGGTTGGGAGGATCTAAACTGACATCTCCCAAGCTGACAGCCTGGCCTCTATTCTTGGAAAAGGGCTATCTTTCTATGAAAAATACCACCACACCCTTTCCAATGCCCTCACCCCCCAAAATCCACCACCCTCCCACCCCCTTTCCTCTTTTGCAGTCCCATCAAGCCACAGGATGCTATAGCACAGGAACACTTGAACGCTTGCAAAATTAAACACATGCTGTAACTAAACAATGGTTCAAAGAGGGACACTGCATTCAGTTGTCAATTACATCTCTTCAGTGTACGGAAAACAAAACAGATTTCTATCTTGCTGTCTTCCGTTTCTTACAGAAGAACACAATGGCTCCTCTGAAGCAGAGATTATTCACTGGCTTGCTTAGCGAATGATATTGAGAGAAATGCTGATACAACACAATGCTGAGGGCAGGGGAAAAAAAAGGATGCCTCTGTTTCTCCTTCATCTCTATTTACTTTCCCACTTAATTTTCCTCTTTCTTCTTCTTCTAAACACTGATGGATCAAAAAGACACTCCAGAATGGTCTTTTATTTAAAAAAAAAAACAACAACCATCAAACCAAAACAACAGACCACTGAACTTTCAAAACCTATGGACTACAAACAAATGAAAATATTTTTTCTATCCTGAAACATGACAAACGCTAGTCTAAATACCTGCTCAGAGGAGAAACGCAGATCTTGTTTATCCGCGGTATACAATAGAGAGTGTATTGATAAGGATTTAGTAAGATTGACATCTTTGAACATTCATCCTAGACAAGTATTAATGATTTACGCAAACATGCCTTTCTACAGCACAAGTCTACCATGCAAAGCTAAAGCTAAATATTTTGGCATCTGCCACTGAGCTCTGGCATTCATGAGGCTGCAAAAAATGGTTGCATTTTCTCAACCCGTTCCTTTCCTGTAGCCCTCCTACATAGTAAGTAACAAAGAGCAGCTGCATTTTCTAGGAGCATGTAAAGGAACAATCTGTTTTGTGGGAGAACTTTTTACCGTCTTCATTCTCCATCCCAGACTACCTTAAAGAGAAAATGAGAGGGGCTGTTGCTCCACAGCAGTTCTTCCCCCATCCGCCCACTCAGAACAAAGCAGCAGATACTTTAATACAATAATTGACCGTCTGTCTCTACAGAAAAAGGGGTGACACAACTTCATGCTTAATTTCCACTAAATTTCAATGTTAATCTTTCAATGAAACTGATGTTTAAATCAGGGAAATTCAGATTGTGAATGTCTCTCACCAATTACAAGGACTGTTTTGCCACAATATTTGATATGCTTAACAGCTTCTAGTTTGTTTGGGTTTCTTTTGGTTTTAATTGACTAAGAACAGGCATGGCCCTCATGAAAAGTGATCCACTGTACACCAGAATTCAATAGTATATTTACCGCTGGCTTCAATTATTCTTAGAAAGAAGAGCATCAGTGCTAAAAATAGTCTTATAAAATGGAGTCAGAAATACCCTCCAGAAACTGAGCTACTATACATTGGGAGAAAGAGTCTATAATGAAGTCAGTGCCTGTCAACAGCAGCACCGATAATGACCTCTGTAGCTGCTAAATAAGCCACTTCACTATTAGTAGGAATGCCAGATATGCTTTTAACTAGTTCTGAAATGCAGTAGGAAAGATTGCACTATAAAGCAGGGATACCCAAACAAAATTTTTCATTTTAAATTAAATCTCTCACAAACCAGACACAGTCAAGAGCTCAGACATCATCCCCACGAGCTACTTTATCTTGCCAAGCAGCTTAGGTGTTTCTTCAATTGACAGTAATCTTCAGGGCAGACAAAAGCTAAGTGTGTTCTGTTGAATCTACAGTACTGGGTATCAGTTGTTGAATATACCTGCAGGACACAGTTCATCTCAAAAGGACACCCCCTTCCCAAACCAACCAACCCAAAAAAACCCAACCAAACCGAACAAACCACCCACCCCAGGAACCCTTGTGTTCTTGCCTTGGAGTTGGTCACAGTTGATCAGCATCTTCCAAAACAGTAATATTAAAGGAAGACCCAATTATAAACAATTATCCAGAAGGCAGGAAAATTAAAGGCATTCAGAACAAAACTTACAGATTGAGCAATTCAACACTTAATTGACCTTTCACTTGCAGAACACTGACATAACTAAAATATTCCGTGAATCGCTGTCCCCATGCCTTTTTAATAAGGTGTACAGACTTCAGTTTGCCATCATATTTAGAAATTACGGCTGGCTTGCGGATTTCTTCCCCTTGCTAAACCTGTGTGTGAAGTACAAGATCTGCTGCTGCTGCTGTATCTTCCTGTCTCCAAAACTGAAGAGCAATTTTGTGCAACTTCATAGAGACCGATATTAAGCCTTCATAAGTTTTACTGCCTTTCCCTCATTGTTTTCTTCAGCATCATATCCAAAAGATACTCTACACTCATAAATATACAGGTCTGATTTAGAATGGCATTTCCTTAAACAGATTCCAAAAACATACGGACAGTCTGTTTAGACTAGCTTTATTTCACTTTAATTAGCCCCCAGCAGGAAACTGGTTTAACCTGAACTTAAGGTCCTTGGACATTAAATAAGTGTGTCCACACTGGGATTTGCACCTACTTAACTGAGGGTGTGATTTCATGATCAGTTTTCATCGGTCCAGACCCCTCACTGCTGCTGAAAAAGTAGATCTGATCATCCTCCAGTATGCCAGTTCCAGCCCTGGCATGTTTATGGGGCAAATCAAATTAATGAGTTGATTTTGCTGAAAATTAACTGTGCAAAAAAAGGATTACATTTCAGCCAGATCAGTGACTGACCCAATTCACTCCACAGCCACATGAGTGCCCTCATCAGCACCCAAGAGCTGTGACAGTAGGAAAGCTGGGCACCACAGCTTTGCAAAGAATGACTAAGAGCTCCGTTTTCCTGCCAGTCAGACTTTTAATCCAAGTTTCCTCCTTTATGGTCTAAGCTTCCACAGACTCACTGAAAAGTTCAGAGAACACGAGCTCCACAGCTGCTCTTCATAACCAAGTATCCGACATTACCTGTTTCAAACATCTACTAGTTAATAAAGAGGCAGGAAAAATAATAGAGAAATCTTCTCTCCTGAAGTGAGTAACAAGGGGTGCTTTAAAATATATGTATGCCTTAGTCACTAACAGATATGCTGAGAGAGGTATGGGCAACCTCTGTCTGTACATATCCTGACATATGACAGTGTATCATCAACATTCCTAAAAATCTTCCCGCTTCCAGCAACATCAGAAGGATCAAACTTGAGATTATTACACGAACTCAAATGCTGCCTGGACATGTTATTTTACTGAAGTACTAAGAAACTTACTGAAACAATCTCAGCTTACTGGAAGAATCTGCAGAGATGGGAGATGACAGGAAGACCCAAACCTATGCACGGCTCTTATAATGAGCCTGGTGAATTGTGAGCCACACTAACTCCATTCTTCACATGATAAATGTATTTAATGCATACTATTCTCCAAGAAGTGAACCCCTTCACTTCAGAGCTGAAACACAGAAGTAGTGCAAAGTACCTTGCGCATGGCTGCTTCTGCAATCCTTGCTCCATAGGTAAGGACAACGAGAAATTCTGAATCTTATTTGAGAACTGCCATATCTCTAAAACCTCTTAAAAATGAACAGAGATTGAAAACTAACAATGTTCCTGAACACAAAGCCTACATTAATACAGTGGGGGGGTGGAGGGGCAGATTTTTCAAACTCAGTAACTCTCAGACGACATTTACTTTCACACTAAAAATAAACTGCAATTAGTTTCAACAGAAAAACAAACACAAAAGTACAGCTTTTCTGTGCCTACATATATTTCAGCTTAAAGCTGTACTATGGGTAGCTACAAACCATTTCAATTGTTACATTAAATTGAACTTTTTTTCTCCAGTTATTAGTCATTTTTATCTCTGAACAAAGAAGACACAAGACCAGATTCTGAAGGGAAAAAAAAAAGGCAAGACAAGACAAAAAGGGAACCACAAGTAGTTACTGGTATCAGGATACACCCACTCCAGTTTTAACTTCTCAGGAGGCAGCTCTGTCCTCATATCATCATAGTTTTCTACATCAGAAGGAATGAACATTGTGATTGGTCGACCCCGCATGAACATCTTGATATATTCTCCCTCTGTTGAAACAAAAAAAGCGTATTAATCATGTGGCAAGTTTACACAAGAAATAAACACAAAAGAAAGCAGTAATAAGCACAGGGATGCAAATAACACTTGTGATAGAACAATTATTTTTGAAATGCGAGCTTGGTAAAGGCCCAGATTTATTTTTTTTTTAACAGAACACTAAAATACACACACACACACACACAGAGTAAGTGTTAGTTGAATTTGTGATAGAACAGACTGAGCATGTAGCATTTTAGACATGCAAATCAAATAACAAAGGCAAATTTCAAATTAAAATCTGAAATTGAATGAATAAGTAGTCATGGAATCACAGGATAAGGTACTTCAGATTAAAGGGGACCTCAGGAAGTGTTTAAGTCCAACGTCTGGCTCAAAGCAAGCTCAGCCATGAGGTCAGATGAGGTTGCTCAGCGTTTTGTCTAGTCCAGTCTTAAAAACCTTCAACAACAGAGCTGGCACTTCTTGGCACCTGGCTGCCTGACAGGACCCCCAGGGCCTTTCCTGCAGACCTGCTCCCTGCAGCCCCTCTGTCTCCAGCCTGTATCCCTGCCAGGGGCTCTTCCTTCCCCCAGGTGCAGGACTTGGCATTTGTCCTCGCTTAGTTTTGTGAGGTTCCTGCAGGCTTTTCTTTTACCCACCTAGCTGCCCACCTATCCAAACGATAATGGCCCAGGTAAGACACAAAGATACTGCAGGAAAAAGCGTCAGAAGCTTTGCTGAGGAATAGCATCTGAAATTATGTATCATCACAAACTAATACCCTAACCTGAATCATTAATTTATTGAAATTGCATGCTATTGCATATTGCATCATATCCTGAAGAATGGAAAGAATCAACAGCTCCTAACGTCTCCAGCTGTAACGCTGTCTATAGCTGTGACAAAATAGATGCATATCTCTGTTGGGGCATCTGAGCACTTCACAAGCCTTTAGGAATTCCTTTTCAAGGAACATGAGATTATTTTCCACCAGAGAAAACTAATTACAGAGGAGCTGAGTGACTTGGTCAAACACATTAGCTAGCCCTTATAAGGTAAATCATCTGGATTTAAGGAATACATGATTGCAACTAGTACATTAGGTGCCCTACAGGATTCTTCCCTCCACACTATGACAATAATAATTCCTAACTTCAGAAGACCAGAGAAGCCCTCAGAGATTTTTAAAAGCCTCTACTCCCTAGCCACACAGCAAACCTAGCACTGTTGTGCTGTTTAACTAGTTAAATCAGGCCTCAAATCCACACGAATTAATGCCAGCCTCCAACGCTGCTGACACAGGAGTTTCATTCTGAAAAGCACTGGATGACAAAACCCTAAATACTTCATTAATTTTGCATCAATGAAATGGTAAATTTTTATCACTCTTCAACTTCTTTAGTAATTAGCATCCATTGTTAATGTAACTAATACTACAAACCCAAAGTAATATAATACTCTGCTGTGAATCTGGAACTCCAATATTTTTTATGAGTAGGGATTTGAAAATCACAGCAGACAGAGGGAACTCAGTTTCAAACCAAAACGTAAATAGTTGAGTAGGACTGGAACAGAATAGCTGTGAATAAGCAATGCAGTATTATGAAATCTCTAATCACATTTGATACAACCAATATTGAGCTCTAAAATTAAGATCTTTAAACAATTACTTCTATATTTCTTTCATGAGAGAGACTTCCCACAAACGCCCAGAGAATGCTTGTAAATATTTCCCCAATTAAGCATAAGATTATTACTCAGACTGCATGAACGTGCAATCTATGTTTTGCATTCCCTAAAACATCTAAAACTGAAATTACAAGAAACTGATTCCCACAGAATTGTAGTTTAACAGCTCAAGTCAAACTTGGAGATCTAAAAAGGCACGAAAAAGCAGATAATTTCAGTGACAGCAGAAGCCACGTAGACCCCAAAATAGTCTCTTGCTTACAGAAACATTTTAGAAGATGCAAAGATCAAGACATAATCAAAGTTGTGAGCAAGACCAACCTTAAGCCAGGTCTACCCTTCTCTGAATTTGAAATACCCCTACTATACAGACTACAGAAAGATACTCTGTTTTACTGTAGTTAGAAGAGAATGAGAGAGGAAAAACCTCTAACTATTTGCAGCCATCAAAGATATAAAGCAGCCTTGCACAAAGTGTGGAAATGAATTCTTGACACTCAAGGTCTTTCTTCTACAGTTAGACAAGACAGAAGATCGACAATCATCAGCCTAATGAAAAAATGTGGTGAATATTCTAGGTTATGTAAAAGAAGTATTGCTATAACAGAAGATTTTCTCCGTGTGAAATTCTGTGGGATACCAGCCCAGCTCTGAAACACCAGAAAGCACCAGCTTTGAATACAGCGGTGATGATCCTAGCATACCCCAATGACTTGGTCAGCATTAACACACATCAGAAAAATCTACAGAGACCAAAGCATGTAATATATTCAGTAACTCCTAGTCAGAGAAAGAACTACTCATGAGCTTGCATGGTTTTAACAGGATTAGTGTGACTCCTTTTCCACTTCTAGTGTGCTCAAGTCAACGTTTTGAGACGAAGAATTCATTTTATTTGAATTTTGTGTCACTTTTGACCCTGATAATAGGTTCACTCTGCACTGGAGGCAAGAGAAGGGAATTCTCCTATGACAGTCCAAATACAACTGGAAGCTCAAAAAATAATTCCTGAACAGAAATCATAATAATTGAGCAAAACTAACAAATGTGTAAAGGTTTTTTCCTTATTTAGAATATTAATACAATGAAAATTGAGCCATTTAAATCCAGTTTCACAGGAACAAATACCAAGAAGATGAAAAACAGCTGTCCCACTTATTTCTAAGTAGACATACAGCTCTTTTGAATGAGCACTCTGTAAGTCCATCCACTGACAATAGCAGAAAACTTGCCTCAGATCAAATAACAAAGAACAAAGAAAATCACTTCCCCATAGCTAAATTGGAAATAATAGTTGTTTTACCAAATGCGCATTGCTCAATTGCATTGCTGAGAAAAGCTAAAGATCAGTGTTGTCACTAGTTTGACACAAATGCTTAGATAATTATTCCAAACTAGTACACGTCTCATTTTTCCACTAAAATCTTTTTTTATAGTGTGTATTTTACAGAGATTAAACAATAGTGGCTAAAATCAAGAGTAACGTATCAATAATGACCTTTCTTTTAAAACCTGGTGCTCACACACCTAAAACACAGCATAGCCGGAGGGTGTTTAAAAAAGACCATTCATTTGTGCAAGTCAAATTCCTGATTTAACACTGAGCTTGGCACTTTTGGTTCCATAAGATCAGTGCAAAACGACACCACAAATTCAGGATCAAATTTCTCAATACTGCTTAGATCAGTGGAGACAAGCTGCAACTGAAATTCATACGGATAGAGGCAGTTGCACCTGTTGGACCCTGCAGATGAGAGAGATGAAGAGTCCAAGAGGAATTCAGTCAGGTCTTTAGCCTGAAGAGAAGAGGCTCTCCTGGAGCTTGGGGAAAAGATTATCTGCAGGGCATACAGATACAAATTAGCTCTCTGAACTCCCCTATTAAAGAAAGAACATATTTTGCTTATATTAGCTAGCTGCATGTTATTCAAGATTACCTTTGAAGATGCATATTTAACACACTTGTCAGAGAGACATCGGCTAGGTGTAACTTGATTAAGCCTCTCCCTACAGAAGAGCAAGGATAAAAAGAGACAACCCACTGAAAGATTTTTGTCTAAGACTATAAATTTCCTTTCGTCAGAATAACCTGTAGGGCAGATATAATATTAATGTAAAAATCTTTTGAAATACTAGAGAGGATGGCAGCATATCAACAAAACCATTCTCAAACAGCAAGTAATTGCCTAAGGCCAAATTCTTGTATTTGCAAGTTAAGAAAACCAGTGATTTAACTCTTTCATAGCATACCGGCTCAACGGACTGCTCAACAAAATTAGTCCATCTGTTTCTTTCCTGCATTCTCACTATTTCCAGTTATAAAGCAGTATGTCAAGACTTTTTTTTTCACTCGATCTTTTGGAAGAAAAGAGCTGTGCTCATCTCATAACAGATACGTAGGTAAGGGGGTATAGGGAAGATAAAGTCCAAAGTTTTAAAGAGAGTGGGGAAAAAAACCCCAACAAAAAATCCTTGACAATTTTGGTATCTTCCAGCCTGAAAACAGTAGGTACGAAAGTAAAAGTCTTTTTGCATGATAATGTTTCAGTCTCTCTCCACACCACCACAAGTCTTACCTTTCATGATTGTGGGTGGCTGTAACTGCACGCAGTGTTACAGAGGCGAACCCCCCAGGGTTTTGATGCATTAACATTTTCCATGAGGCTGCCTATCTCTGTTAGAATTACTTCCGATACATCCTGGGATTGCATTTGTGTTTTCATAAGTGAGAGGTTCAATCCTTGTGTAATTAACTAGCATGTTAGAGCCCTTTTCCTCACCATTTAGTTCTGGCAGACAACCCATTTATAGCTAAAACATTGCTAGCAACTCCTGCATGTGTGATCTTGCACTTTGAATTATTTAATTCTGTCTTACGCTACTCCAGGCCTCAAGAACATCTAGGTCTTACTGTACTAAAATCTTAGCTTCTACTGTATCAGTTTGGTGTCTCAGCTTCATGTCATCAGTGACACTTCATCTGGGCTCCTACTTTCCTATGTTAAGTTCATTTGTGTAAATACTAAGCCAAATAGTTCCCAACAGGCTGCAGGCAGATGTTAGCAACCAGAGTATCTACTGCGGGTTCTTTGAAAGTTTATAGCCTGCTAGAGAAGAGAGGAATAAATATGTTGGTGAAACAAGGTGCTGCTACTGAGAAGGAACCTTAGAAGCCTGCCTGATCTGCAAGGAAACAAGTGCATCTTCTTCACTGACAGTCACTGTCAGCCAGCGTATTCACCTTGCGTGCAAGGAAACTGTTGGTAAGGCACGTAACGCCAAAATCCAGGACAACACTAGGGACAAATAAAAAGTTGTA